ATAGCAATGAAAATTAAGAAGGGAGAGGAGGGAAGAAGCCTAGAGTCAATCCATTTGGGGTTTAAGAAATGAGAATATATTGCAGAAAGCAGGCATCTTCAACCAGTTTACTGAGATCTCGAGTAGAGATTTATTTTTCTATTTTAAAAAACGTGTCATATCTTTGAGAAGAAATACACACTAATATGTGCAATTAACTAATTAATAAATGAAATATCTCTGAGAAGGAACTCAGCCTAATATGAATAATTAACTAATTAATAAAAAGAAAAAACTTACTCAACTTTAGAAACTCTTTTCAGGGAGCAACTGCCTTGAATAAAGAGGGCATGAGAAAAAGACTTTTGTGTTCTTTTTTGTCCTGTATAACAAATTATTTTCCTTGCAAAGCGCCAAATTGCATTCCCCTACACGGCTGCATTACCACGAACATGATTTTGGTACATAGTGGCTGTTCCAGGGATACTCCTGATATCAATCTTGAAGTCTATTCAAACAAGGATGGGAGTCAGAGTTGATCTGTGCCAACATTCCTGCTGAGAATTAGCCCAGTTTCATAATGTGTGGGGGAGCCCCCAGTTCACTGTCCTGCCTGTTTGGGGTACAGAGATACAGCTGAGAGGCTCTGCAGGAAGTAAAAAGTTAAGAAACCATATGATAGGAATACTATCACTTGCTCTTTCTTAATGGGCTCTGTGTGGGGAACTAAGAAAGGTCAGGTTTTTCTACCATTCAGTGCAGCAGTAGTGCTCTTGTGAAAAGCTACTTCTGCTCCATAAGGCAGTAAAAACACAGAGGAATTGCTGGCAGACTCTCAGAATGTGCAGGCCCCCTCAGAGTCCTATCTGTCTTTTTTAGCTCCTCCATTTAACTGTAGTACTAAGGAACAGATTTGCTGCTTGGCCTGTGCCTTCATTCTGCAGATGAAGAAACTGAGAGCAAGGGGAACTGAAGAGGCTTTTCCTCCACTATGAGTTCGTGAGGAGCTAAAGCAGAGTTTGTACTACATCGGTCTTCTGATTCCTATGGGCCAAACTGTAACCCATAAACCTAAATATGATTATAATTAGCCAGGGTGTCAGCGGTGGGGTGAGAGGTACATTGTGAAATCTTTTGTGATTAGAAAGAAAGATGATGATGAACTCAGAATTTGGTCTCTGTGCCTTAACAAACTGTATGTTTACCTGTTTTACCTTACAGATTGCCTTTTTCTTCAGAATAGGGCTTGGCTTCATGAAATTCATTCCTGCCGACTTGACTTAAGTACTCAGAAGGCCTGTGCATGCTTGCAGCGTCCTTCATCTCACCATGCACTTCCACCTTCTGGTCCTGTCAGAAGGGGTTAAGTGTGACCAGTGGAGCACATATCCCTGAGGACCCTTACACTTTCCCATCTAAGAAAAGTTGGGCAATCCCAGGCCTTTATTTCATGTCTGTGGTTAATTCTTTCTTAGACTTTTCAATCCTATAGATTTTGGCTTTGGAGAACTTTGCATGGGATTTGTATAAGTAATATTTTAGCTTGGTATGCATAGGACCTACTATATTTTGTAAGCAGACCTGAGCCAGTTCTCTCTGAAATTTTTTAAAACATATTACTTTTTCATATTAAGAATCCTCTGCTTTGGAGTTACATCTGTTCTTTCTATTACCTCTTCCCCCCTCGTGGTAATGATAATGAGGAGTGTTTTCCATTTGGGGTCATTTAACCTCGCTCCACTCACAGGGAGAATTCATGAGTGGTAATATATTTTCCAAGGAGAGTTTGACCTGAAAACTGTATTACGGGAAGGCATATAATGCCTGGTCACATAATTAATGAAGGTTGTTGCATCCTAGCCCAGTTCTATGGATAATGACCAGAATGGTTTGACCCTGGGTTATAACAAAGTACTGCAGAACTATAATTTAGTCTGCTCAGATATAACATTAAATTAGACCCAGGGTTTTTTTTTCTAAGTGCACTATAAACCACACTTATTGTGCACCTGCTAGGTTTACAAAGGCGTCCTTTTACTTGTGAGTTGCTTGTCAGTAAGGGACTTTGCTTGGCACATCGTAGGAGAACTATGAATATGTGTTGAATGAAGGAGAAGGGTGAAAACTGGACTTTTTTAGGAGTGTCCTATCCTGAAGCCACTCCACATGGAAGTGGTTTGCCCGTGGCCCAATATATCCAGTTCTTTCTTGAGGATGGTCTGCAAGTTGAGCTTCTTCGAAAGACGAAAAGTGTTATTCATCTGCGATTTACCTTGAAGCGTTTAACACAAATTTGATTTCTAAGGAAAGGCTAGCAAAGCCTTGATGCAGGAAAATTTATTCTTAGGCATTCTTCTCTGATGACCATAGACCAAGTGAGACTTTAGTATAGTTACTGTAGCCATGAAAGTAATCACTGGACAACACTCCTAGTGGCAAAAACTATCAACCCATAGAGTGGTCTGATGATTGTCAGAAAGCAGGGCTAAAAGAAATGTGATGCCAGCTGGGCCGGCACTCTCTTTACTGACCCCAAATATTTATTCAGCATCTTACTATGTGTAAAACCCATGATTTTTCCTTGCTTTTGCTTGTTTCTTCAATGTAAATATGAAGACAGAATATAGATTTTTAAACTGAAGATCTGTGACCTTTATTTGTTTCTACAAGAGGTGATATTTCTACTCACTTTGAAATCAGTTTGGAGTGCAGGGATAAGATTCTGCTGGTGTGTAGCACACAGCAGGTGCTCAGTAAATCTAGAAAGCAGAAAGAAGAACAGAATGCTGTGAGGCAGTTAGAAAAGGAGAGGGAGTGACCACAGGCTTGGGTCCTGGAGTCAGCCTGCATAGAGTCCAGCAGGTTCTGCCATTAACCAGCTAGGTAATCTGGTAACTTCTAATTCTTAAATTTGCTCATCTTTAAATGAGAGAACATCTTTGCCTGAGATTTGAGCCTTTACTGAGCCCAAGTCCTCCTCAGGAGTTTACCTGGAGGTAGAAGAGACACACACTGATTGCCCCTTCCCTACCCTTATCAATCTTTTTGGTGTGCCAAAGTCGGCCCATGAATCTTTAGGGCCAGATGCTAGCATTTCCTAACACCTTGGTAAGTAACATTTTTCTTCAAAATAAGGAACTCTAACTCTACCTCTTTCAGAGTCATCACTCCCTCCCACCCCCAAGGTTAGTATCCTCAGAATGAGGGTATGTTTACTAAAATTTTTTATAATGAGGCAAAGTTATAATGAAAACTCAAAAGCATGTAATCCAGCTAATGACTAATACTGGAGACTGGGAGGTGAGTGGGGGAGTCAGACAACTTACCCAGTGCTTTCCTGAAGCAATGAATATGCATAGCCAGCTTTGGAAATCTGGAGGAGACCTGCTTGGGAAGGTCTAGCTGTATTTCTCCTTACCATCACCTCTTTTTCTCTCCATTGGGCATGAAAGAAGAGGGGCACCTGGTTTCTCACACCTGCTCATGCTTGGCACATGCAGGTGCTCACTGTGGGCCAGCCTGGCTTCTAAGTGCAATGTGTGTTAAATCACTTAATCCTTAGGACAGCTCAATTCTGAGGTACATACTATTTTTATCCCCATTTACAGAGGAGGAAACCAGGGCTCAGAGAAATTAAATAAATTTCCCAAGGACAAATAGTTGGGAAGCGATAGGACCAGTAAAAAATCCGGGCAGTATGGCTCCAGAGCCTTTTCTCTCAACTACTACTCTCCAGTGGCTGAGAAGTAGTTATTTCCACTGGAGGATCTCAATAAGAGGCTGGAGGAGTCCAACATAAATTTAGCATTTCTCTTCTCCAGTCTTTTTAAATGTTTAATTTTCAAATAGAATTCTAGGCACAGATAACATTTTCCATCGCAACTAGACCAAATTGCCAATCTGGGCTCTATGGTAGTTCATTGTTTCCCGTAAAGTGACCTCTGCGTCACCCTTTTACAGGTCCAGTTCTCTGGGAGCAGTTGCTGACATGGAGTTTGGCATGCAGGATATTTATTAGGGATCCCTGCTCAAGGGGAGTAGTCACAAAGGAAGCTGAACTGTAAGGCAGGCCTGGCACAGCCTGGGCCAGCCACATGGGGCATGTACGGTCTCTCACAGCTGTCCTGTGATGGGCCGAAAGGGCAGGGCTTTATACCCCTGCCACCATCAGTGGGTGGATATGGGCCACATGGAGGAGGGCATCCCCTTGGGCAACGGACTCTTTTCAGCTGAGGCAGACCCTGAAGGATCTGACGGTTCCAGCTCTCTCCTGCCAGCACCTCCCACCATTGAGAAAATGAGTTCTTCCTTGAGTGGGGGCTCTAGGTGGTGCATCCCTGTTCCCATTTGACACTTTTGATTTTATTGCAAATGTAAGTCTACTCAATGGCAAATGCCTTCTCCAAACTCAGCCTCTTGCTTGCTTGGATTCTAGATAAATAGGTATTTACAATATTGCGTGAGTACAGACAGATCCTCAGCTATCTGAAATCCTTTTACCATAGCCCTAGGCAGAGGCAAAGTTTAATATCAATAGTTTCTTTGGGCCATGTGATAAAAATCTTACCTGATATTTTTTAGAGATACATGAATAATTTGTCTTACTCTCATCGTGTCTTTCAAGCAGAGCAGTTGGCTTTTTTCTGGAGGACAGAGTCCAAGGCTAAAGGCCACAATGCAGTGATGGAAATCTCCAGTCACATTTTGCTTGCCAGTTGTCTTAAGAGAAATCTTTCAGTGATTAAGATTCCAGGTTTAATTCCCTTTTTCTTCCTTCTTCCATTATGAAACTAAAGCAATCTTCCAGATCTCTTCAGCATGAACATTAAACGGCATTCCAACTGACTTATATCTTGTCCACCCAAGTTTACCACAAGAACTGTCCCTTTGTCATTCAATGGGCTAGTTTGCTTTTTACGATCAGTTACTGCTGCATCCCATTGTTGCCCAGAGCTGGCTTTGGCCACTGTCTGTCTCAGATGCAGGGTGTGCATAATCTCTCTCCATTTCTTTTCTTCCAGGTTGGAAAGCTTATTCAAGAAGCAGCTGGAAGAAGTAACTTGAAGAGAGTAACTCTGGAACTTGGAGGGAAAAGTCCTAATATTATTTTTGCTGATGCTGATTGTAAGCCCTCCCCCACCCCCGTCCCCAATCCCATACATGTCCCAGCACACTTTCGTGTCTCCACTTTTGATAGCACACTAAGAGAAAAATCTTTGAAGCTAAGGGCAATCAAGAAGATCTCCTTCTAAAGAGAAAATAGTTTAATATTAGGGAAAGAGCACCTGTCAATTGGCAACTGAACAGAGTTCATTTTCTAGACACTAAGGAACCATTTTGATTCTGATGTTCTAGGATAGGGTAGAAGAGGTGAAGGCTTGGTCAGTGGTGCATAGTGGAAAGAGCAATGTTCTAAGCCTCCAAACACCTTAAGTATAGTCTACCTAGATTCAACAAACCTAAAATTCTCAAATATGCCTAGTAGCTGGTAGGTCATTAAAAATAAATCCTACTTCACTGGGCTTTGGAGAGAGGAGGGAGGTGGCTCCATAGACAGGCCCCTCCAAAGGCAAAGCAGTGTGGAGACCATAGCTCTTTCCTCTTGTAGTGGACTACGCCGTGGAGCAGGCTCACCAAGGTGTGTTCTTCAACCAAGGCCAGTGCTGCACCGCAGGGTCTCGCATCTTTGTGGAGGAGTCCATCTATGAGGAGTTTGTGAGAAGAAGCGTGGAGCGGGCCAAGAGACGCATTGTGGGGAGTCCCTTTGACCCTAGCACTGAGCAGGGTCCTCAGGTAGAAAAATCATAGATATCCCTTTTGTTTATGTAGTCCCTGGCTGGCACAGAAACTGGACACTCTGGTGGGATCGAACAGAGCAACAGCTATCCTTTTCTGCTGCCTCCTTACTCTTCCATCTCATCTTCATGGCTGGAAATATAGCCAGTGAGGGATTGTTTGTTTCTTATACCTCTCTTTCCCTTTCAAAATTATATCTCTGAAAAGCCATGCTATTGGGGTTGCCTTAAGGGTATTTTGAACTTTGGGGGTAAATTTGAATCTCTCAGCTCTAAAGAAATTGCTGGGCATGACATAACGGATCTTGACACTAGAACCCAGTCCCAGTCCTTTTAACCACTGAACTGTAAGACATCCCCACAGATACTACAATCAAGGAGGGTGGTTATCTCTACTTCCCAGAGCCATTTTTCCTTTCCCCAGATGCCAGGTCTGGAGAGATTACTTGTAGCTTGTGAATGTGTAGGAAATGAAGGGCTGGCTTATTTTTCCTTTGCTGTATGTTTTTTTCTTCCTCTAAGTGCTCCACACACTGTGGTGTGGTGGGGAGGGCCACAAAACTCCCTCCTGAGTGGCCAGGCTGTAGTCTTTAGCTCTGCAGGTTCACCGTAATCCTCAAGGCATATTTCCAAATGGAATTCTGGTTTTAATCTATAGACAGGGTCTGAGAATTTTTAGAGGTATGTCTGGACCAGCTCTCATCTGCGTCACTAGAGCATGGTAAGGGACAACATCTGGTAAGGGACAACATTTCTGGTAAGGGACAACATCTCTTCAGTTTTGGGACTATTTGCGAGAAAACTGATGCTCTAGCTAAGGAATTCAAATCATCGTGTGGATGTAGATTTTTTATATTATTTACCATAATAATGGAATGATAACTTTGTCAGGTTTAGGGGGGCAAAACTGACCTTATTTTTTGAACTAAGAACCTAACCCTCACTCTTTATGCTTAATTAATTCCTCTAAAGTTGTAATAGGAATTTCTTTAAAAATAAATCTCAGCAGGATTTAGTGTATAGCTGTGTTGACTTATCTAATGTTTTCATCTTTTTAATATCAGTACAACCTGCTAAATTAAATTGCTCATTTGGTTATAGAAGTCAATTTTTCCTCATGTAACAATTAATAATAAATTAGCCAGGGTCTCCATCATTTTGAAACATTTTCTATATCTTCAACTGGTAGTTCTGATTGGGCAGTATCATTAGAGCAGTGCCTTTGTTTGAACCCTCCATATATTAGGTTGAACTGTACAAAACTGCAATTTTTTTGGTAGGTCAACATTGGTAAATAACAGCAGTTTCATGTGATTTGATTGGATATAATGAAACTTTTAAAAAATCATAAATGAAAGATTCTCGAGAACACATTTATTTCCATTTTCATAGAAGGTTTTACCTGGAGTCATTAGGTAATTTCTCTTGTAGATTGATAAGAAACAGTACAACAAGATCCTGGAGCTCATCCAGAGTGGTGTGGCCGAGGGCGCCAAGCTGGAATGTGGAGGCAAAGGACTAGGCCGAAAGGGGTTTTTCATTGAGCCCACAGTGTTCTCCAACGTCACTGATGACATGCGGATTGCCAAGGAGGAGGTATCAAATACAGTGTTCCTACAAAAGCCACACGTTTCTTGGGATGGTTTCCAGAGCATTTCTAGTGGATGATATTAGAGTTTTAGCTCTTTATATTTTATGTACAAGGTACTTCAAAAAGCTCACAAAAAATGGAATTAAATATGATAATATGAATCTTTCCGTGAACTTTTTGAAGACCCCTTGTACAGTTGACCCTTGAATAGCACAGGTTTGAACTTTGTGGGTCCACCTACATGTGGATTTTTTTAAACCAATAGCTATCGAAAACACAGTATTCACAGTTCCATATTCACAATATGGAACCCATGTATTTGGAGGGCCAACTTTTCATGTATGTGGGTTCTTCAGGGCCAACTACGAGACATGAGTATCTGCAGATTTTGGTATATGTGTGGGGGGGTCTTAGAATCAATCCCCCACATATACTAAGGAATAACTTGTACACTAATTTTGAAATGGCAATAAATATAACTATGAAAATCCTAAAAAGACAAGCAAGTTAGTCGGAGGCCAGGTGACATGCTCTATGATTGTGATTATTATTATTAGCCAAAAGAACAGTCATAATAGCCGATCATGGCCTCAATAATACACTGGCAACAGCTCAGTTCCTCTAAATGTGGTTCACTAGGCTGTTAACTAGGAAAGAGAAAACATCCAAGCATTCTCATGGCTATGCAGGAGAGGGACCAGGAGCAGGCCAGCCTGCAACCCAGAGCTATAGTTCTCAATTCTGAAGGAATGTTTCTGGGATCATGGGGAATGCCACTTCCTCTTCTGTACCTGAAAAACATACCCCTAGTACCCACAGTGGAATTAAGTGATGACGGCAGGGGGATGGGGGTATTAAACAAACTCTAAAGTTAGTCTCATATAATCTTATTCTGGGAAAGTTTAGGATATTTTGTGCTGCTAAAGTGTCATTTAAATAATCAATGCTGAGTAAACTTGCTTTGAAATATGAAAGCAGATGAAGGAATAGCAAAACAGCCATGTTGAGTCAAACTATTTTGTTGCAGATCTTTGGCCCCGTTCAGGAAATTCTGAGGTTTAAGACTATGGATGAAGTTATCGAAAGAGCCAATAACTCGGACTTTGGACTTGTAGCAGCTGTCTTTACTAATGACATCAACAAGGCCCTCACAGTGTCTTCTGCAATGCAAGCTGGGACTGTTTGGTAAGATCAGAGCCAGTCTCATGGTTCACATTCCACTCACATAACACATTCCACTGGTGGTAGAGAGGCCTTATAACTCTCAGGAGCCAGTGTGAAATAAACACGTATCCTCTGGAAGGATGGAAAAGACCAAAGGCAACCAGACTTCACCCTGAGAAAGGACACACCCCTTACTGGCTAGGTCACGAAATCAAAGTAAATTTTAAATTACTATTTTTTAATCTGGACCAGAAGGAATCAGAAAATAAAACTTAAAAAAAAACCCATATCACACCAGTTGGGTTATTTCTATGCAGGTAGAATTCACACTACTAACTCACAATATTATGTTTTCTTCTTTCAGGATCAATTGTTACAATGCCTTAAATGCCCAGAGCCCCTTTGGGGGATTCAAGATGTCTGGAAATGGGAGAGAAATGTAAGTGTCAAAGTTGTTGATGCCTGCAGAGAAATAGGGATTGCAAACATCAGCACAGAGGAATACTCACCAAATAGTTTAATTCTCTTACCCTCATCAACTCATTACACAAACATTTTGTTGAGCGCGTACTACATAAGCAATGTACTACACATTAGAAAGATGAATGAGACAATTCCCTTACCCTAGTCAAAAAAGAGAAAGATTAACGTACCACTTATTCCATGTGAGAAGGACTATTATAGAAGTGAGTCAAACATCTTGTAAGTACAAAGAAAAAAATCAATTAATTTTGCCTGGTAGGGTCAGAGAAGACGTCACAGAAGAAATAACATTTCATTTTTTAGTAGCAGGCATTCCAGGCTGAGGAAATAGCAGAAACAAGGGCATGAAGAAACCAATATAAAACACAGAATGGAGCAGAGATTGGTGTGCTTAAAGTGAAGGTTGCCGACGACCAGCCCTAGGGCCACATCTGGCCAGTGGAAGTGTTTTGTTTTGCCTTCATGGTGTTTGAAAATCTTTAACTGACATTCAAAAGATGAGGAGGCTTTACGTAAGGTCTAGATTTCTTGGTCATTTTCGTTCATAGCAGAATTGCTGAAGCTGCTCTTGCTCCCGAGGCCTGGCCATGGGTTGTCATTTATTGCACATCCACCCAGTTCACTCACTCATGTCATCTGCTCAGCCCCTGTAGGTTCTCTGAGTTTAGAAGCACAGGGTTAGGGCATAGGACCAATGGAGGGGACTTGGTGGAGATACAAGTGGAAAAGTTGGTTTAAACCACATCTTGAGAGACATTAAAGGAAATTCTTTGGGAACTGAGGAGATACCAGAGTTTGTAAGGCCAAGCTTCCCGGCTTATAGAGGATATCTTGGCAGAGACTAGAGGAGGAAGACCTGTGTGAAGGATTTTAAAGTAACAATAATAGGTATAATCTTAGTCAGTTCGGGGTGCTATAACAAAATGCCTTAGACTGGGTAATTTATAAACAATAGAAATTTATTGATTATAGTTCTGGAGTCTGAGAAGTCCAAGATCAAGGTGTCAGCAGATCTGGTGCCTAGTGAGGACCCATTCCTCATAGATGGCACCTTCTGTGTCCTCACATGCTGGGAAGGACACGGGGGCTCACTCAAGCCTCTTTATGAGGACACTTATCTCACTTATGAGGGTGAAGCCCTGTGACTTAGTCACTTCCCAAATGCCCCACCTCCATACTATTGCATTGGGCATTAGGTTCCAACATATGAGTTGAGGGGAGAGAGGAGTGGGACACAGTTAACATTCATAGCATTTGTCATTAATTAAATGCCTGCAGTTTATCTGGCTGTGTGCTAACTTCTTTCCTAATATTAACTCATCTGGTTTTCACAGTGATTCTATGCATTAGATACAATTATCTTTACACTACAGAAGGCCCAGATAAGGAACTAAGGGTTAGGAGGGTTAGGTAAGTTAACTAAGGTTGACTTGCCCAAGTCACACAGCCAGCCAGTAAGTGGCAGAGCTAAGATTTGAACTTAGGTCTCAGTGGCTCCGAATGAGTACTTCCATGATATCCAGCCAAGGAGGCATGGGGGCCAGGCACAAGGGCTCTTCAGGAACAAGGGCACAGCTGGACAGAGTCCTCCTGAGATGCTAAAGACCTGAAAAATAGGACTGTAGCAGACGTAAACTAGACTTAAGAGGGATTTTACTTGCAGGCTTCAGCATAAATGGACTTTTTGAATGACATTCAGCTCAGGTATCCAGGGTCTTCCTGTGCTGACATGCACCCCCATCTAGAAAATAAACCACTTTCCACCATTTTGAAAGGAGCTGATCCATATTTTCTAAATCCTGTGATTCACAACAGAAAACATGCTCCATGTCCATTCCCTCTGCCATTACCGAATGCATATTTTTTTGAATAAATGTTTATTAGTTCACAGTCAGTCTACTAACAAATATTTATCGTAAACTATTACAAAGCACTGTGCTTGGTCTGTGGGGGAAGATGCAGGTCATTAAGGCATGTAAAATGTTGTTGGATAAATGAAATATATAACATGGAAAGAATCAGAAGAATCCTAGTAAAGACTGTAAAGTGATAGAAGAGTTCAGGGGGAGATCATTGTGGGCTGGAGAAGCCTGGGGAACCTTTACATATGATCTAGTAGGATTTAAATTGGCTTTTCAAGGAGAGGAACACTTGGGTAAATGAAGAAAGGGGAATATTTTTTTCTAGGTTGAAGGGCAGGCAAGATAGCAGTGGAGGGAGTGAGCAAAGGCAGTGTGGGAAAACAAGTATGGTGTTTGGGCAGCATGGTGTGCTCCTGGGACCAGAACAGAGGACTTACATGCTTCAGATAGTTTTGTTGGTAATTTCAAGCCCCTAATCATTAAGCCATATGTTGAATATAGCTTTGAGGCTAAGAGCAGTTTCTAGAATCACACTGCTCAGATTTGAATTCTCCTTCTACCACATATTACCTGTGCAACCTTGGGCAAATTACTTGATCTCACTAAGTCTCAATTTCCTCATCTATAAAATGGGAATAATTATAACCCTCAGAGGGTTGTTCTGAGGATTAAGCATTACGATTAAGTATGCAGAGTATCCAACAGAGTGTCTGGCAAGCATTCAGAAAATGTTAGCTGCTGTCATCATTATTGATCAAGTAGATGAATGTTATACAGGTGAGCCTTCTCTTTCTTAACAAACTTACTACTTTGGAAGTGTGGCAGAAGTTTTTCTAAGTTCCAGCTGGTATTACCAACTTATGTTCTGTCTCTGGTAATGCCAGGGAGAAACTGTTCTTGCTTGGAACCTTTGCTTCTGGCCTCCAGTACCCCTCACTTGCTTTACAGCTAGAATCTGTATCCCATTCATTCAGTTATTAGTATTCCTTTAGCTTTTAGAAAGTCTGCATGCACTGCAGGTATTTCTTTTTCACTTGCATGTGGCCTTAACTTTCTGCTTCCACTTTTCAAGATGCATTTGCTTGTTGTTTCATTTCCTGCCTCTGTGTCCTGTGCTCTCCTGGTGTCTGAAATGTTGGGGCAGTCACTGGCTCTGGGAATGCTGCTCTCGTTGACTGTTTTGTTACAGATCATTAACAGGGTGAATCACCAGCATAAAACTTGTAATAAATGATCGCTGGTTGATGGAGCCTAATCCCAGTCTAGCCCTGGGCCCTCATCATGGGCAGGCCTCCTGCCAGGTTTCAGACTGTGACATTATCCAGGTCCAGTCTGTTGCCATCAGAAATGTTCCCCTTGCCTAGAAAGACGGTCCAGGCGACAGTTTGGCTATGTCAGAGCCACACGCAATGGTGGCCTAAGAGACTAAAGAATAGCTTCTCTCCACTTGTCTCGAAGGCACTATAATGATTTGGCCTTCCCAGTGCAGTTAAAAAATAATTAGGAAATGGTGCTCTTTGATGAGACCCACTTCATCTTGTCTAAATTACATGGTTCTTTGTCTCTACTTATCCCCAAAACATGTTTTTTCTTCCTTTAATGACCTAGAGTGGTAGGACATGCTTTAAATAAAAGGACCTGCTCTGTCCTGGTCCCCAACTCTTCCATCTCATTTGATTCATCCCCAGAGACTCTATTTAAGCCTCCATCTGTATAGAATTGTTTATCTCAGGGCCTACAAACTCCGTAGAGCAGTCCCTGACACCTCCCTGCCCACCTCGAAGAGGAGCAGAGAAAGGAAATAGCACTTCCAGAAACAAACTCCATGGAGGGCTGAGCAAGCCCGGAGGTTGTCCCCACAGAGAGATGCCCTCTACAGGTATGTGATGGGCTGGCCTCTAATTCCCAGGTGCAGAGGCTTTTCTCAGAAGAGTTTCTCTCAGTTCTTCCTATCCAGCTAATTTCCTCTATTTCACTCCTCCCAGCCTTTTTCTTACCTCCTCACTTAAGCTCCCTCTGAGATGAGGGGTGGTAAAGCACAAGCTATAAAATATGTCACAAACTGAGGGGATGAAAAGAAAACTGTGAGCCTCAGCATTTTAAAAACTAAGGACACACGCTTTGAGAATGGGGAGCATAATTAGGATCCTGTACATCAGGCTTCTGAAGGTGGGGTGGGGGGACGGCACACATGCATGCACATGCACGTGCACAGAAAGAAGTCACCTTCAGGCTGTGTGATGGGGTTGCTAAGCATGCCTATCTGGGGGCACACTCTCAGAGATTCTGATTTAGTAGATCTGGGCCAGGGCCCAGAATCTGCATTTTTAATAAGCTTCTGGAATGATTCTGATGCAGGTGGTCTAGGGACCTTACTCTGAGAACTGCTGCAAGCCAAATAAAGGGGCAAGGACGTATATATCCTAAACAGAAATCCTTATTTGTTCTATGGGTGAGTTTGAGTGATTCCTAAAATGGTTGGCTGACAGCCACCTAAACTAAGTGTTGCTTTACCTGTAGGTATGCCAAGGTTGGTTTATCTTGGGAATATAACCTAGTCTGTGGAGAAGCAGCAATACAGGCTTCTGAATGTGTCTGTGTCCTGATGCATTGCCCAGCTCTGAAGGTGACCATACAAAGAGATTGGGGGGCATCAATAATGAAATGTCTGCCTTTAGTGCAGCAGTAGGGTGCTTCCTTGTTAACTGTGGAACTGTGTATGCCAAAGAATTTAACTGGAGTAAATAGATTTGAGAGAAAGACTCAAATAAGATGGGGAAATTGCTAAAGAATCCAAACAGTCAGGGATTTTCAAGCCTGTGAGCAAAGTGTGGGCAAATGACCACCTGTATCACAGTCCCCTGGGTACCTTCCCAGACCTACTAAAACAGAATCTTAGGCCAGGGAGCAGGGAGGAGTGGGGGAGAGGGGAGGGGAGTATCAAGAATCCACAGGAGCCTAAGCAAGCTCCTGGGTGATATTTATGTATGCTGAAGTTCAGGCACTGCTGCTCGAGAGATGACTGGGCACCAGAGGGTGGAGGTGACTCCACTGCAGTCGTCCAGCCAGTTAAAGGCAGAGTCTGTCTGCTGACCCCAGCTCCAGTGTGCTTTCCCCTCCACACTGCCTTGCCCCCACTGCTCTGAGACCTTTCACTGGCTTTCTTTGATGCCCTGGGCCCATGGGCAGTCCTGTTGTGGGAGGTTTGAGTCCACTAAGGCTGGTGCATAGAAGATTGCCTGGGACCCAGGAGAGGGGCACCCTCTGTCCATTAGGGTTTTCCATTGCATCACACAACTAAAGACTGTGGGATCCAACAGTCACACTCGCAAGTAGCCGTACCATGAGCTTTCTGACTTTGCAAACTTCCTTACATTTCTCACCACCTGGTTAGAGATCTGAGTGGGAGGAAAATGTGGTTCTGGGTCTGCCCCAAGTGCGTGCACAAGCCAGGAAACAAGAAGGGAGTAACCTCACTTCAAACCAGAGGCACACGATGTCCGTGATGAAGAGACACATTCAGAACTGCCCAAGGGCAGGAAAAAGGCCTGAGAGAGCCAGTGCTGGGCTGGTAATAAAGACACTCAGAGCCTGGATGGCATTGATGAGAGAAGCATATAATGAGTGGGGCGATCCCAGTTTATTCTTCCCTTTCATCTAAGTAAAATGCCCTATACAGACAAGAGAACAACATGCTTGCCCCAGTCTCTACTTGGCTGCCCTCTGATATCCCAGGGGTCCCCGTTAACTCGGGTGATCCTGATGCTCAGAGGAGCTGCTGGTGAAGCAGGTGGAGCCTTGTGTAACGCAATGGGGATTCCTGAAAGGAACCGAAATGAATTATTTACAGCAAAGCCCAGTTACAGTAACTCTGTACATTTAACTCTGTACTGGCCGTTTTAAGATATAGCCTTTCTTAATCCTTTCCTATATACATACATCTCAAAATGTTCTTTTACTTTTTCCTGGTAGAGACGGTGTGGTAAGGAGGGATAGGAAGAAGACCTCCCTCCCTCCCTCCTCCCTTCCTCCTTCCCTCCCTCCTTCCCTCCCTTCCACCAATCCTTCCGTCCATCCTTCCTTCCTCCTTCCCTCCCCTTTCCTCCCTGCCACAGTCATCACGTGCCTTCTGTGTGCCTGATACTGTAGGCTGTACACTTTGTTTGGTGGAGGCCAAAAAGCAAAATTAGTAAGATGCAACTCAGTAGGGGAGACAGAGACACTCACGCCACTTCTCCCCGTGTGGTGAGTGCTGTGGTTGAGGTGTGGACAAGGGGCTCTGTAAACACAGAGGAGAGGGAGGCACTGCTTCTCCTGAGGCTATCTGGAGAGATCTCACCAAGGAGTGACTTTAAAGAGAATAAAAGAAGAACAGTTCTGCTATTTTAAGAAAAAAAGATAGGAGAAAATGTTTGATTTTACAATGAAATAGAAAAAAGGAAAAAAAGAATTAAATTGAGGTGAAAATGAGAAGGGAACAGAGAGGAGAGGTGGAAGAAAAGGAGCATTGTAGCAAGCAGGCTTTGCCATGCCAGCATCCTTGCTTCTGGAGAGTGTCCAGAGGGCTGGGAAGGGCGTGTCTCCTGTCACCACCCAGACAGGTGACCTGCTCCCACCCCTCCCATTCAGTTCCAACCACCTGCAAGCTCTTCAGAGGCTGGGACCAATTCTTTTTACCCGAGTCCAGCACAGTGCTGCCCCATAGTAACAGCTCAGAAAGTGTTTGTTGACTGAATGAATGACAATGCTGATCCATGACCAAGATCCCAAAGGGGAAGTGGCCAAAGGACAATCTTGTGGGGAAGCTTGCTAACACTTCCCAACTTTTTTAGTCAGTTATTTTTATTTCCTAAATCTTTACCCTGACTCTGTGGAAGCTGTGGGCAGTACTTATCAGGATTGTGTTTTTAAGGCATTGCAGATGATTTCTGCTTTTCCATGGTAAGCCTTTATTTAAGTATTTGTCCATTTATTAAATCTAAGGAACAATGAAAAGGAATCTGGAATACTAAACAGAGAGGATCTGAGCCTGGGAAGCTCCATCTTTTCTTTTAGTTAAAGTGGACTAGCTCTCTAGGCAAGCAACCAGACCAGAGACATCCAGAGGGTATCTGTTGGCAGGAATGGGATTCTAGAGGAGGAAAGCACACCATCGTCCTGAAGAATTCATGCTGCCTTGTGAGTAGAAACATGGCCAAGGCATTCAGAGACCTGGGGCCTGGTTCTGCTGCTGCTCATGGTGCTCAGCCCAGCAGCATAGCCCAGGTCACCTGTGTGCCCTCTGACCAAGGCTAACCCCCAGACCTGGTTCTGTCAGTAGTAGGGAGTCATTGCCTTTCTGTGCAATATTTTGAGGACAAATCATCCCTTACTCTGACAAATGGTGACTGCCCATGAGAAGACAGCTTTATCCGCTCCTTAGAAGAAAGCTGGGCTGTCCCTCTGTTAGGAACTTTTATGTCAAAATCTCAGGACCTGCTGTTAGCAGGTGATAAACTGCACCTTCCCAGGACTCTGACTGTCACTCAGGTGTGGCTGCCTGGGCCTCTGGTATCTCATACTGCCCATTTCTGTGTTTCAGGGGAGAATTCGGTTTGCGAGAGTACTCAGAAGTTAAGACTGTGACAGTAAAGATCCCCCAGAAGAATTCCTAAGAAGGTCAAGAAGGAAGGTGGAGGCCAGCCTGCACAACTCTCCCTCTCTGCTTTCTCTGTAGGGCCCAGCTCTCAGGAATACGAAGTTGAGCCACAGTCCTAATTTAAAGATTGAAATGATGATGTGTAGGCCAGGCAGGTAGCTGCACAACTGAAGCAAAAAAGGGGGGCATGGTTTTTTGGCACTCTGTAAGGGATCACCTTAATGATACCAAATATTGAGGAAAGTGAGATAAAGGTAAGCGGAGGACACATCCAGTATCTCTCTCTGGAGCAACAGATGGAATAAGGGAGCTGTATTAGCTGATGCCTTTGTCATAGAGAACTTTCCTCTTGAGGAAAGATGGCCTTGCCACTGTCTTCATTTTCCTCCTTCCAGGTTTCCCTGCTCACCACCCCTCCCTCTCTTCCAAGGACATCTCAGATGAGCTCATTTGGGGGCAGATGTTTGGGCTGGGAATTATTTTCCAAGGTTTTGCAGCCAAATTACCATTTCATGTTATCCATTTCTTCAAAGCAAAACATGAAATGGTTTTAGTTAGAGCCAGACCAGACTGAAAATGCCGGGAGCTGGTGCACTACAGATGTACTAAGAAGTAAGAACTTGGGACATTCCTGGTTTTCTTATATCCATAAATAACAAGAGTTATTAGAAAAAAGATCAGGATGATGGAGATTGGAGGTCATCATGTGTAGTTCACAGCTTGAGCTTGCGGCATGGTTTGGTTGTGTGTATGTGTTTGTGTGTATGTGTTTAATTCCTTCTTGGTTATTATGGGATAAGGCAGGGGGTGGATTGTCTTCCATAGATGGATAAGATCTTTCCAAAGCTTATCTTAAAACCAACCAAAAAAACAATCCAAGTAGGACTGAGAATTTGGTAATGCTGGATGCCGTATAGAAATAATTCAGTTTCTAATACTGAGTGAGGATTCTTATTAAATGAATTATTTCTGTAAGTTGGAATCTATAGCTTTTTCTGCACCCAAGCCCCCACTGTACCAACACCTGCTACTCCCAGGGCCCTGGGTGTTACTTTGGCCTGTCATGCCCTAATAATATACCCTAAATCCGTTGGCAGTAACCTTGGAAAATCTGGCCAAGCCAGGAGGTTTCCTTTTCCATTTGCAGAGTTGCAGTGTGCCACGACTGCCATATTCCACCAGAGCTCTCTGTCATGCCCAGTGGCTCATCCATACACCATTCTTGCCTCTCACCAAGCAAGTGTCATCCACCTGCAGAGGGGGTGGCATGAAGCAGGCCTGTCTCCCTTTCCTCCCAACCATGCACTCCTCTTCTGCTTTCCAGTAAATCCACCATTTTGATGTGGGAAGTGTTAGCTTCCTTTCCTTCCTCCCTCTTTTCAGCTGCCAATCCAATCCAGTCTCTAACCTAGATGAAGTCATTTATTTAAAAGTACCAAACATAACCTAGAGTATGTGGAACATGGGCAAGATATATATAGCCTTCTGTATTTAACAGTTTTCTGTTTTCTAGTCATACTGGTTTTCTATTTGTAACTCTTGTCTATCCATGATGTTTTTAAGAAACTCTACTTGCTGTTATTTACATATGACAGTGCATTCAGCAGCCTGACGGCTGACAGATGTCCTCTTTCTGAGTTCTTCCATGGGAATGCCATGCTCTTTTCCGGTAGTGTCTGTCCAAGTGCACATATCCATTAACCAGCTAGTTACCTTTGAACTGCAATATAGAATGTGAAAATGAAGATTTATTTCTTTTAATTTACTTAAAAAGAAACTTCTGTGCTAGCAATAAAGCATTTATATTGTGTACTCCTTGGGATTATTTGGCTGTGTTTGTAAGTCTTTGTGTCACGCTAAGTATATTTGGGTCCTTCCCTCAGCTGCTGGGTTTTTCACCTGTGTTGCTCTCTTGGGTTACTAAGCAGAAGTCTCGTAGGTACTTTTACAGAATGCATTAGGATAAACAAAAACCTTATTCTCTGACACTATTTAAAATCCGTGTGCACATTCAGTTTTGTATGGCATTTAAGTATAACTATGTATGAAATACATGAAATGATAAGTTTCATTCAGAACAACTTCCATGCAGGCTGACATGTCCAGGAGTTCGTGGGCCTGTTCTCATAAACATGGACAACACAGCAAGAGCTCACATCGCTGACGGCATTTTGCAGTAGCATTATTGTTATTTACCAAAGTGAAATGAAGTCACAGGCTGACCACCTGATGAAATATTTCTGCAGCTGTAAAAAGAAAGCTGTAAATGGTGACTGCACTACTAAACAAGCCAGAGCTTGTTTGCTCTCTCTGTGTTCTCAGAGTTGGGCTTTTAGGGAGTGGTTCCCACCATTCAGAACTGCACATCCCCCACTTTCAGCCCTTGGAATCTCCACCCAAATCCTGGTCAAGTGAGACAAAGACTAAACCTGATGACTTAGGTCCAGAGTAAATCCATCTTAGGGAAAGAGATGCATTGCTCTGGACTGGAGCTCATGACTCTGCCGGTATCTTGTCCCTCAGAGGAACAAATGGAGCATGGGAGAATGTGGCCCCTGGGACTTGGGGTAGAACTTTAAATGTGACATATGGGGCTCGTTGTGAACCTACCTCCTGCTCAGTACACTGAGCCATCAGGAAGAAAGTTAGAAAGAGATGGGCATGGAGTAATCATTTAAAAGTCCTTTGGAAAGGTGCCATTAGTGTATATGGACAGCAGGAATCCAGAATGAGATAGACATAAGAAAGCATTCCTGGTAAAAGGAATAACCTACACAGTCACAGAGGTGGGGCCGTGCTTGGCATACATGTGTGATAGCGAGGAGGTGGGCTGGCAAGAGCAGACACTGCATGCCGGCAACTGTAGAGGGCCTTGGGGGTCAGCGTGGAGTGTGGTAGAGCAGTGGTTAGAGCATGCTGGTCTGGAGCAAAGCAGATAGAAAGATACCAATTACAAGGTCTATTTGGCATAATACTAGCTTGGGCCCTGGGGATGGAGAGGAAGGAAACAGACCAATGGAGACATCCCCAGAACTTGATGAATGAATATGAAAGGGAGAAAAGATAAGAGTAAGTTTTCAAGCCCGGATGAGTAGGGAAATGGCGGTGCCGCAGCCACAGAAGCTGAAACGTAGAACAGAGTTTTGGGGAGTGATCCTGACTTTAAGCTTTGGATATGTAAATTGCAAGATGATGAAGAGACCTCCATATGAAAATATCCAGCTGACAACTGGAAGTAGGGGATTGGAACTGGCTCAGATGACTATAGTATGGCATGAACATAAAAGTGACGGCTCTAAGTACAGAGAGAGAATAAAAGCAAAACCAGGGCCAGGGAAAAAGAGCCCAGCAGAAGAAATGAAGGCTGTAGTCAGAGAACTAGGAGGAAAGCCATCGTCAGGTATAACACCGCAGAAACCCAAGGAGAAAGGTCTGGGAGCACAGGTGTACAGAGGTAGCAAGGGCGAGGATGGCGTGAGCAGCCCAGGCATTAGGGCCTTGGAATTGATCTCTTCCCTGTACAAAGCGGAGACCAAGGGCATCTGTTGGCTGAGGGAGCTGATAGGCAGCTGTGAGCCACGCGGCCCCTTGCAGAGCTCCACCACACTCAAGGATGGCCGTGGTGCCTATGCCTTCATGCAGACTCATCCGTCCACCAGAATGTGCAGAGCACCTGCTCTGTTCTGCTCTGTGCCCTGTGCTCTTGCCCACCTCAGGACCCACAGAGACAGAAGACAGGAGCTCACAGTTGATAAATTGGAAGAAATTAGAGGCTGGATTAGCTGGCCAAGGTGGGGTAAAAGGAAACTGGCTTTGGAACAGGTGTGAAAGATCAAGTAGAATTTAGAAAGGTATAAAGAGGAATAGCAAGACTGCTGGGAAAAAATCTCCATGCAGAATCTGTTAGTTCTGTGTTGGCAACATTCTTGGCAGGGAGAGGGGTGCAGGTGCAGCCAGAACAGAAATGCATGTTGCCAGTTATATGTATTTATAAGTCATTTATTAGTTTTTAGGGGGGGTTCGATTGACTAATATTTCAGAAATATTAAGTCAGTCACAAGAATGCTTAAAATGTACAGCAAAAATAAAATCACGTGAATTAAAAGTGGGAGTAAAAAAAGAAAATGAAGATGAGAACCTATGGAATCAGAATGAGGCTAGAAAATACACATTATACAGACTTACCACCCTTCTTATGGATCCCTGCTATCTGATGAGAGAAGAGCTGACACCGCATACCCAGCAATCCTAAGAAACTAACCTCCCTCCCCCCTCCCTCTCTTCTTTCCCTTCCCTCCCTCCACAAATGTTTATTACCCTAGGCACTGGCACAAGTGCTGGGGACACAAAGAGAACCAGTCATGGCTGCTACCTTTGGAAAGCTCACAGTCTAGGGTAACTAGTCCATGGCTTCCTTTGCTATCTCACCCAATTTATGGAAGGGTCACATAGCACCTTTCCCAGGTCTGCTTAGTGAGTAATTCAGAGTGGCGACTTTGCACGTGGTGGTTGCTGACTAGCAACATAGCCAAGCGAAAGGCACATTGCATTGGAGCATCAGCAATGTGATCAGAAGTCCTCACTCAGAGTCTCTTATCTACCACTCATAAGGTGTCTTCACATTCTTGGGGGGGAGGGGAGAGAGGGAGGAGGGAGGGAGGTGTCGGTGATGGGCCATAATAATCATATACAGTGTATATTGACAAAAAAAAAAAAATAAGGTGTCTTCAGGCAAATCACTTAACTTCTGCGGGCCTCCACTTCCTCCGCTGTAGGATCGAGGTGATCATTCCTGCCCTACCCACTTCACAGAGGTGTGCGAGGATTCAGCAACATCATGAATGATGTATTTCTTCAGTTGGTCTGAGACATGCTGCCACATGCAACCATAAATAACTAAAAAAAAAAAAAAGCTAAATGATCTTTGTTGCTTTCTGATCAGGCTGTAGGACATCAGAATACATCATTTCTCAGCCCACTTGAGGCTATGATGTAGACACTGATCTCTAGGATAGTTTCCTGTAGGTTTCCAGGGGGGCTTTCTTATCTGGAGGCTGACTTTCCCCCAAGTTTTGGTCCCATATATTCAACTCTCTGTAGAGTGATTTCAAGACCCGCAGGTCCTAGCCAGGCTGCCTGTGCCACCCTGATGTCTGATGCAGCGACTGCTCATGAGTGGAGACAGGCTGGGGATGAGTGCATGGGAAAATCCACCCCAGAACGGCATGAAGCCCTATTCCTAAACATGTACATTGTCTAGTTCTCACTTGGTTATTGGCCAGATTAAAAGGAAGATCAGCTTGCCATTTAGCCTTTGATGTGAAACTGCTTGGATAATGTTTCCTTTGGCCATTTATCTATGTAGCAAGGAGGAACCTGAAACCAGCATGGTCTGGCCCCCTTTCCTGCTGGAGCGTGAGCACCTCTGAATGGTTTCAAGGTCTTTTGGCCCTGCTTTTGGTGTTTTTCAAGAGCAGTCCCTGCTCTTTTTCTCCTCATGAAATAGATGTTATTTATCAAGTGAGGTTGAGTTGCCTAATTTCTTTTATAACATGGTTTCCCCAGTCTGTTTTCAGAAGTGTACCTCTGGTCTTATATTCTATGTTCTGGGCAGGATAAAAAGTACACAAACTCAGGCACTCCTGAATTGAAAAGAATAGAGACCCTTCCAGTCTCTGTCCCACGTGCAGCCAAACAGGAGGATTCTAGGACCTTGGGAGGACCCCTCTCTCCCGATTCCAGGCAGATACATTCAATTTATGGACCGATAATGTATTACCTTTCCCCGGTTCCTCCTGGTTGGTAGCTTAGAGTGACAACTCTCAAGACTCCCGTGGGGGTAGCTGAGTAGCAGTGAACAAGAACCCATAGTGTTCTCCGACAGGCCAGAGCTTGGCAAACCCTAGGGGAAGTTCTGTTGGTTAAACAGTTGAGGCTCCGGTCTCCATTTCCCAAGTTAGGTTCATTCATAAACAACTCAGGACTGGTGTAAAATTGAATAAAATCCAGATGCCACTTGTTAATACAATTAGCTCATGCTCCCTGGTGGCCCTGAGGGAGGTGTGATGCTCACAAACACTCAGAGCCTGCAGTGGCATTCACTCCCAGCCCCGAGTTGTGTGTGGCAAGGGGAGGTGGGAGCAAGAGCTTGTCAGACAAAGGCTGGGGAATGGGTGCATGTGTGCATGAAGGTGGTCATATACCCCTCACATGTCTAGTCTTCTAAGTTCAGATCAGACACAATCTGATTCCAGAGAGGAAAGCTTGTCAGTAACGGCTCTCCAGTGGGCAAGGGAACAGAATTCTGAAGTGCTCCACCACTTACTAGGTGCGTGCCCTTGGAAAATTAGTTAGCCATCCAGACCCTCAGTTTCCTCACCTGTACAACAGGGCGATAGAATTATCTTCCTAACACGGGTGTCATGAGGGTCAAACAAGAACGTGCGTGCAAAGTACTTAGCCCCCATTATGAGAATTCAAACAGATGGCAGCAGTTAATAAAAATGAATGAATAAATCAGTATTCCCTAAAGTTGTAGTCCTAAAGAGGTTGTAAGTGTCACCTTCCCTTGAGGTCTGATGCTATGTAGAAGCCAGGCAGGAGGACACCTGTGTTAAGGTGGCCTTAGATGGTGGAAATGGAACCAGTGATTGGGCGAATGCTAGGAGGTTGGAAGGATAATGACCATTTAGAAATACCCTGTCTGTGCCCAGTCGGTTCTGCTCTACCTGCGGAGTCACTGAGATCCAGAGCTATCTAATCACAGACGATGTTGCCCTAGCTCTCATATGTCTAAAAGAATAAGTAGCAAGAAGGATCAAA